CAGTCGCAATTCGCGCATGTTCTAAAACTGCAAACGACAAAGCCTTTTGACGGAAAAGACTTCTTTACCTGGTCGTTCAAATTCGAGCTGATGATGGAAGGAGCGCGGATCCTTGGCTTCTTCGACGGGTCCCTGCCATATCCAACAAACGGCACACAGTATGAGAAGCAGTAGTACACTTATCAATCGATGATGGCGTACACAATACTACTGAGGAACATCACCCCGACTCAAGAGCAGAACATAAAGCCTTACCGAGGTTACGGCAACTCCGCGGAGCTCGCGTACAACCACTTGAAGAACCTGTATCAAGCAACAGACAGTGTAAACCAAAGCAGGTTAATGGCGCAGCTGACAATAATAGAAATGAAACCAGGCGAGAAAGGCATGGAGTATATCAGTCGCTGCCGCGAGCTGCGCGACAGGCTGATTCGTTGTGGAGGATCGATTTCAGAAGACGCCTTCGTCACGATTGTCATCGGCGGTCTCGGCCCTCACTGGCGCTCCACTCGCGCCATACTACGAGCACACGGGAGAATCTCCGAAGCAGCACTCTGCACCGAAATCCATGCCGAGCAGCGGGACATGGACCTGCAAGAAGAACGACATAAGAAGAAAGCGTCAGTACCAGAGTTCGCCTTTCACACCCAGCGACGCTACAACAACAACAACAACAACAACAATCGACAGCAACAACAACCGAAGCCAGTACCTCCATTTTGCCATATCTGCAAAACTTCAGGGCATCCTCGTACGCACTGCCCGTATCGTCATCAATCGACAACACCACAGCGACAACTTCGACCTTCGAGCAGTCAAGTCACTTCGACGCAAGCAACCCCAACAACTTCAGTCCAAGCTTCAACGACTTCAACAAGACAACCTGCGCAAAAGCCAAGAAACATCGTCAACTGCATGGTAAAGATAACAGATTCCTGCACAACCGAGTCACCACCATACTACTCACCTGAAGAACAACTCGACAACAGCACGCCTCGCCGCGAGTCTCTTCAACCGAATCTGACGTACGCCGCCATTGCTCAAAGTGAACCGTCCGGGAAAGAGACGTGCTTCTTGGACAGCTGCTGCGGACAGCACATGTGCTCATCGGGACGCTTCGTCCAGCGTGAACACCGACTTCAACGAGAGGTCGTCATCACAGTCGCCAACAATCAGAACCTGCGCACACGACGACAAGGAGTAGTACAGCTTCAGTCCAGAGAAACAAACGTTATACTGCATATGTCAAAGGTACTAATCGCGGAGGGACTCGGCTACAACTTACTGAGCGTCAGCCAGTTGATGGCGAAGGGTATCCACCTGGAAGCCAACAGCACCACCCAGGAATTCAAGTTATACCACGGGAAAGGCGGCCTCGACATCGGGAAGGCAGTCTTGAAGAAGAACGTCTTCTTCCTCGACTTCGTCCCAGACCTGGGCACCGCAGACAGCGACGCCATCGTGAACTTCGCCGACTGGACTCACCCTCCAGATCTTGATCCAGACCTCAGCCCGGAAGGCTTCTGGTACTCGCATACCATCCCTAAAGCAGAAAGAACACGCGCGTTAGCAACAATTCAACATTCAACAGCAGCAGAAACATCATCGGCAGCAGAAACATCATCGGCAGCAGCAGAGACAACATCGGCAGCAGCAGCAGGACCAACGACACCAGTCGTCATCAACGAAACACCACCAACACCCGTACAGCAGTTGAAACCAACTCAACGAGAAGTCCACAAAAATGCAAACTTCGTCGCCAGCTTCTACTCTAACTCCGACGCGTATCGACGCTCACCCGGACATCGCGCCTCCGAAGAAATCTGGCACGCACGAATGGGACATCCAAGCAACACAGTCTTAAACAAGAACGAGAGTCCTAGAGAAGGACTCATTATTACTACCTCATGGCAGAGAACTTCAACGGGCACGAGGGACTTGTCTTACCTGTCCCGAAGCCGACTTACCACATCGACCGTTCACTCCTCGTCACAACCCGAGCGCACCCGCGTACGCACCACTTGAGAAGGTGTACAGCGACATTCTCTTCAATTGAGAACCAGGACAAGTTACCTACAACTACACGATTTCCTTCATTGACGCCGCCACTCGATACGTCTGGCATCTTAATCTACCCAGCCGCGACATGGCACTCGCAGCGTTCGCCGCCTGGCTACCAGTAACAGAACGAGAGTCGGGAGCACTGCTGAAAAGCTTCCAGTCAGATGGAGGAGGAGAATACACCTCTCAGCGATTCAAGCAGTACCTGGCGGAAAGAGGAATCAAACAACTTCTCTCCCTTCCCTACGCCCATCAGCAGCAAGGTGTCGCAGAACGAATGAACATAACTCTGCAGAACAGCATGCGCAAACTGTTACGTGGCATGCGGCTACCCAACCACCAGTGGCCTGCAGCAATGGACCTTGCTATCATGCTGCACAACTTGCTGTCGTCGTCCTCACTCCCGAACAACGCATCACCGCATCTGCTGTGGACAGGAAAACAGGGCAGTACAAAAATGTTACGATTTTTCGGGTGCATGGTACAGTACCGACCCCCAGAGGCACGAGCGGGAAGATTTTCACAACGCGCACAGTGGGGACTACACCTTGGCATCGAAAAGAATTACAACGCATGGAAAATCTTCGACGTCCACTCCAAGGAAACAGTAGCAGCACGTAATGTGATCTTCTACAAACCACTCACGCTTCAGACGTACCTCGCCAATTTGCACGAAAATCAGGACCCCACAGGTGGCTTTCGTGGTGACTGAGCCTTCGCCTCAGCAGCAAACGAAGCAGACTGGGACGAGCAGAACGTCGACAACGCATCCGAAGAACCTAATCAGGTTTGCCAGATACTGAAATCACTCTACGGAATCAAACAGGCCCCACGGCTGTGGCAAGAGCACTTACACACCCGCCTCACTCGCATCGGATTCCGTCAACTGCCTCACGACCAAGGCATGTACCGACTCACCAAAGACGCCAACTACATTCTGCTTATCGTCTACGTCGACGATCTACTCTACATCGGTTCTACCAACGACATAACTACCTGGTTCGAAGGGGAGCTGAAGAAGGACCTCACACTCACGGTCTCCACTACCGTCACTCAATATCTCGGACTCAACATCCGCGAAGAAGAAAATGCGATCTACCTCAGCGCCGAAAAGTATGCCGACACCATCGCCAAACGCTTCGCGCTCACACCTGCTACTATCTCCACGCCATACCGCTACACGGCAGGGAACGGCAAAGGAAGCTCCGCCTTACTCAAAAATGCCGGAATACGCGACTACCAGCGAAAACTGGGCTGTCTCCTCTTCATAGCCGTCACCTGCCGCCCAGATCTGTCCTACTCCGCAAGTCAACTTGCTACCTATCTCAAGAGGTCCGAAGCAGAACACCTGGCGGAACTCGATCGCGCTCTTCACTACTTCGTGAGCACCGCAACGATTGGCCTGACGTACTACAAAAACACAACTACGCCGACGAAACTAATCGGCTACGTCGATGCCGATCACGCCGGCGACTCAGATAACAGGCGCTCCCGCACTGGCTACATCTACCGCCTAGAACCTAGCGGACCTATCTCCTGGCAATCAAGCAAGCAAGAACTAATTGCACTCTCTTCAGCTGTAGCAGAATATATCGCCCTCTGCTCAGCCACCAAGGAAGGACTCTACCTTCGCGAGCTGCTGGAAGAAGCGAAGTTAGCCGAGTTACCTAACTTCACTTTGTTCTGCGACAACCAATCTGCAATTCGCATCGCCAACAAGAGCGGATTCGCGAACAGAACGAAGCATATCGCTTTGCGATACTTCTTCGTGAAAGACGAAATCGAGAAAGGGAAACTCGATCTATCCTACTGTCCTACGTCCGAGATGGCAGCTGACTACTTGACCAAGAAACTAGGAAAACAGAAGTTCGAGTACTGCATGCTGCTGACTGGACAAAACCACGTCATCATCAGCGACACTCCAGAAGCGAAGGGGAGTGTTGGGAACAAATAAGTTAAGCGCCTCTGTCGTGTCAGAACTCAAGACACAAAGCGAAGCAGCTCAAATCGAAGCATCGCGAATCAACCCTCGGAAGTTAACGTAACCGCTGGAGGTTACGAGAAAGTCAAAGGTCAGCGACCTTTGACCTGACGCAGCGCGACAGCAAGGACAAACAACTGACTCGACATTGAGCAGTTGCCCAAGTCGCACTGTATCGAACCGCAACAGTAAAAGTAGTTATAATGTCTCTTCATATTCTCTGTACTCATATATTTATATTCCTGTATCTCTTTGCTTTACTCAACTTACTTTGCCCTCACATACTAGCGCAAGGTGGTTCAAGGACTTTATTCAACGCTTCCGCTATTACAACACCTACTCAGACTTTAACTCTACAAAGATCCAAGGGCGTTTCAGCCCAACACCTACGGCCTCTTATCAGGCGATCCTCTTGTCAGATTCGCGTCACACCGCACCGAAACGCGCATAATAACATTCGATCGCATTGAATCGCATTGGACCGCATTTGATTTTTATTAAATATTTTTAAATATATTTTTTAATATATTTTTTATTTTATTTTTAACAGTGGTTGCACATGATTAAAAGTAACCTCAACAACGTAGGCTGATAATCAGGGTTTCTGAAAAGGCTACACTGCTAATCAGAGAAGTCGAAATCCAAATGTGGTCCCCGTTCCATACCCGTCTGAGCTCCTAATCATGGCACACAAATGAACTTGGACCCTACACTTCCAACACACTTCTTCTCATTGTACACGTAATATTTTGAAATTGCTCCATTGGCAGCTCCACCATAAAAACTGTAAGCACCTGAGCATGTCAATGATGGTGACACTGGCTTTTGCCTGCCCTTCTTGCATATGCCAACGACGAATGACCAATACTCTGCCCTTAGGCAAATCTGAACGGCGACATTTACAAACACAAGAAATGAAAAAAAAAACATGTATTGAGAGAAAGAGATAGGCACACACTCAACGGGCAATCAAGGGCAAATAGTTGGAAAAAACACCACGCTGGCATATGAGAAATGACTCCTTGCCCCAACATCCATCAAGTATACGTTTGGTCCATCCACCAATCTTCCCTCCATTTCCCTCCCATCTCTTGCGCCCCCAACCCAGTTCACCTCCACCTCTCACCTGCACGCCAGTGTTGCTGCCAACAGCAGAGGCGGAGACCGGGATGACACTCGAGCAGATGAGGCCGGGATTGTTGCGGTACAGCTCAGCCCAGCGCACAGCGTTCACGTTCCCAGCCCCCGTTGGGTCGTCCTCACTCCCCGCCTCTAGCAGCAGGCGTTCACATGTGTCCTGTGCTGTAAGCACGCCGTAACGTAGGCACCGAGGCACAGTGAAGGCGAAGGTGGCGTTGCGCTCGACGCACAGAGAGCGGCCCGCCTTGATGGGCTCAGAGCAGTCAAGGCCGGGATTGAGTGCCGTGAGGTTGCTGGTGGTGAGGAACAGCTGAGCACTGATGGACCAGCATGTGTCGCCCTGGAGGGTTGAACAACGGGAGAGAAGGCACAGATGCCTGAGGTGAATGGAGCGCAGCTTTACTATGCGACAGTCTTGCGGAGCTAAGCAAAGCAGAGTGGGGAAACATAGAAAAATAATTCGACGAGATTCCATTCAACGAATAAAAACAAAAAGGGCTAACTCTCACACTGAGGGTGTAGAAGAACGCAGTGCAGGGAACGAGGAGAGGATTTCCCAGCTGAAGCACCATGTTACGAGGCAAAGCCTGATTGCAGTCAATGCCCTGCAATGAGGAGCACACACGATTCTTTAGTCACCACTTCAGGGGATGGCACATCGTTTGCATGACGAATCAGGAAGTAAATGGACACAGGAAGACAAAGCTATGAAGTGAAGGTGTAGCAATATTGCTTTTGTGATTGTTTTCATTTCACACATTGACGATTTCATAAACTGTAGATAAGCAGCTATGGGACTTAGAATTCCATTGTGAGGAATCAACCACTAGCCGTGCCTGCCAATCCACTCTTCCAGGCCCCCCATCTCCATTGGTTACCTGATTCCGCTGTGTGAATTGGGGAAGTGAGAGGCCCACAATAGAGAGGACAGCGGGGCACCACCAGTTGCTCCCACTCACGGCCAGGGTGCTGGCTGTGACGTTGGCTGGAAAGCGACAAATGTGAAAGCAGGAGAACACAAGCATAAGAAAGTAATCAAGAAAACAAAACTACTAGTTGTGTGTGCATCACATGAATTGACAGTAGAACTGTAATGACCCCAACATATGATTCAAGAAGAACTGAAAGAAGTAGCGACCCTCTTACAAACGATGCCAAGCCAGCAGCACCTGGGTCGCAGGTGGGGAAGCTATCGATGATTATGCTTTCAACGTAGTTGGGGGGGCAGATGCAGGAGTAGGAGCCCTTGCCGTCGTTGATGCACGCGCCCACGTAGCATGGGTTCTTCAAGTCAGACCCACACACATCCACTGCCAAGCGACATAAACACAATTGTGGAGCACAGTGGTGAGAGAGATACATGTGTTGGGAGCAATGGGAAGAGTAGGGGGAAGGAGAGATGAAACTACGAAAAGATATAGACAGGGACTTGGTTGAAAGAATATCTGAAGATCAAACAAGCCCATTGTTCCAAAAACGGCCATTGTTCTGACAAGGGCCATGAATAAAAGTTATCATTTGAGAACTTGAACCAAACAACTTACAGTAAGCACACGTTTGAGAGCCATATCCGTTTGCAGCTTGAACAAATGGCTGATTAGATTCGTTTGGAATGGAACAGTCACACGAATTGCTGTTGTTCCGTAAGTTAGCCTGGCATGTGAACCGCCCACACGGATTCATGCTGGGCTGCAGGTCACCATCACCCTTGAAGCTCCTCTGGCCGCAAGGGTCCTTGGGGACTGGAGGGGGGTACAGATAGGAGCAGGAGGTGTAGAAACAGGCGCGAGTGCAAACTCATTGAAAACGACCGTGGGCAGGAAAAGGCAAGCCTTAGGCAAATGGCAGGTGTGAAATCTGGAAACCGTGAGTTGGCGATTGGTGACTGGCTCACACTCCTCTCTATTGACAATGCCTCCATTCCACTGTGTTCCATATACCAAATTTGAGGCCATCCCCTAAACTAAAGACTAATTACATAATTCTTCTGTGAATTTCACCCTGCCCCAAACACCCTGTGATGGACTGGAAGGGGGGGACTGAGATATGGAGAGAGCGATGGGGGAAGGTGCCCCATTTAAGACAATGAGGTAGATGCCTCACTCAACACCTCGAGGTAGATGCCTCACTCAACACCTCGAGGTAGATGCCTCACTCAACACCTCGAGGTAGATGCCTCACTCAACACCTCGAGGTAGATGCCCCACTCAACACCTCGAGATAAATGCCTCACTCTTGACAATGGGGTAGATGCCAGGCAGCACGTTGATGCCACACACGCCATCCCCTCCCTGAATGTCCATGCGCATGTGGCCCCGGTCACCCCACTCCACTCCCCACGAGTTGCGGATGATCCAAAATGGAGGCGCTATGCGATTTTGGCTGCCGTCATTTCTCAAGATGAAGTATCCAATAACGAGTACAACGTGGTTCAGTCTGCCGGTGTAGCAACCAGGATCCTGGTACTTGAAGGTCTGAGGAGAAAGGGGGCACCACAACAGTTATGGAGGGATGAAACAACAAACAACAAAGTACCACTTCAGGCATACAGGTTAATGCTGGTAACAACTTGTGTACAACCCTGGGTTGGTTTTTGGCATACAGGTAATGCGAACAACAACTTCTGTACAACTCTTGACAACTTGTGCACAGAATGAAGGGTCAACGCAAGAAACACCCACCCCGTCATATTGTGCAAAACTCAGAGCAGAAGCCTCAATGTGAACCACCACTGGCTGTCGACGCACTGCCAGCATGAGCCCCACAAACTCCTTGAACCTTGTGCGCTCAAAGCCATGAACAGGGTACTTCTTTTTCTAAAGATGAACATTTCATAGGGGATTTAATTACAGATAGGAAGGAAGAGAAAGAAACATAAAAGGAGGTCACAATGGAAAACAAAAGTTTGCTTGTGGAAAATGATGGCGGCCAATCATAGAAAGCAGCAGAATGTTGGGTGCATTACAAAATGATTAGAATATTCATTTTGTACCCTATACGTTGCCTTCTGAATGTTATGGAACTCTTAAGTCTGGCTCGGCCCCTTCCGGCTCGTGGCAAGCCGACCTTAGCTGACCGTTGATCATGCTTGGTAGAAGCTGTTTGCCTCTTGCTGCCATAACTCGGTCTCTTGGCCCCGATCCGGCCACTCTATCATTGCGTATCAGACTGCAGGGGCACTCGTATGCCGATGGAAAATTAGTTCAACTCGGTTATAAGTTGCAACCAATGCCAGTGGCTTCAACGACTCGGAGACAGTCCTCATATCACCAGTTGAAGTATAGTCGCAACTCTCTCAACGTCGGGCACACTAGGGATGAGCAAAGGGCGAACACGAACATGTTCGTCTTCGCCCGTTGTCGAACACCCTCTTTTGCCGAACCGAACACTATTCGGTTCGGCGAACAGTTTAGGAAAAAACAGGTGTTCGCTGTTCGCCTGTGGAGGCGTGTTCGGGCAAACCTCGAACACTATTCGTGTTCGTCGCGGGCAAATTTCAGCAGCGGCCCGAACACGAACGTGTTCGGGCGAACATTGAACACTGTTCGGCGAACGATTTGAGCTAAAAAACAAAACCTGTTCGGTTCGCCTCGAACGTGTTCGAGGCGAACCGAACAGATGTTCGCCACCTTGCTCATCCCTAGGGCACACCACTTCAAATCTCTGGAATCACACTTCACCACACTACTCACAGGCGCTCCAACCTCTATGACTCCACCGTGAGGCAGCATGAGAAGCCTTTCCAACGCCTCGGTGGGGGAGCCCCCCGTGCTGCACTTGTCAGCTTCGGAGGTGAGCCCCATGGCTGCAAAGAGTGACTCCACTGACAGCTGCGGTGCCTGTGCATTCAAGGCAATGCCGTATGCCGCTTCCACACTCGCCACCAGCGCAAACGCCCAACAAGCACCTGCGTATGATGAAAATTGGTTCGTGAATAATTGAAGCTCATGCGATGACGGCTGAAAAATGATGAAGACTCATATTGCCCTGATTATTGTGCGATAGTTGAAACATGAAAGTGACCAGCAGCAGAACAGCAAATGGAAAGACGCAGATTGTAGCAACTAACCAAGACACCAGCCCAGCTATCAGCTCCAATATGCTTCTACAGGTTCCCATTGGTTTCACTCACTGCAGTCTCTTTGGTCCTTGACGGGCCAGCCGAGGAAGGGCACGGAGTCCCAGGAGTGGAAGTCGCTGATGACCCACGAGTCCTGCTTGCTGGGCGCAACACGGTAGTCCGCACTCACATAGCGCGGGAAGGGGCTGGCCCGTTCTGGCATGTATGTGTTCGTTGATAGCTGCAGGCCATAGGCTGTGATATGCTCAGAAGTTGAATTATAGAGAAAGGAATGAGATGTGAAAGTGACAAGTTGTTACAAGATAGAACTTGAAGGGGGATAATGAGTACAATGGTCTGGGGTGCATTGCCCTAACGTTGCTGAACTGCAACCCTTATCCAATAACATCTGCACCTCAAGTGGTCATTACAACATCCACCAAACAAGCACTCCGTTCAAGCGTGGTTCATGCATGTCTCTCATAAAAAATTCGCTTCCCTAATTCCATAAACGAAGTTGCTCAGCTTCTCCATTTTCCAGTTTGCTTCAGATTTATGCGCACCGTGCTGTGCACCATCAACCACCGTGCTGTGCACCATCAACCACACTGTCTAGGTTATTCTTCTTTCTTACACCCAATGTACGGAATGCATGAGTATTTAGTACAAAGAACCTCCAGAAGAAAAGAAAAACATGGTAAGACGGAGAGTGAAGGATACATGTGGAAAGATAAACAAACGCGAGGGGAAACGTCTGTACACATTATAAGATGATAATAACAATCACACTGTCACAATGCTTGCCTCTTTTGTCCTTCTAACGGAGGTAGTTGCGAGAGTCGCAACAGAAGCATGGGAGACGATGTCTCACCTGGATTACGTGTGACTGTTCGGGGAGAAGCAGGAAGGCCTGCACAAAGACAAAGCAATCAGAGCGAAGATAGAAGACACCATGTAAGATTGAGAAAATTAGTGACTCATATCAAATTGCAGTCACTTTCAAATTGACCTCCATCGGTAACCTCATCAGCGCCAGAGCTAACCTCATCTTCACCAGCACTACCCCCATCGTCACAATTCCTTACATCACCATCCACTCCCTCAGTCTCGTTGCCACCTCCTTTACATCCTCCGGACTGGACCTCCCATGTTGTTAACCACCATGCCAAGCCCATCCACCTGAAAGCACACACTGCTTACCTGTATCCACTGTCGATTCAAGAATGACGTGCCGCTGAAACGGCTTCACAGTGGTGGACGCCACGAAGCCAAAGAAGAAGGCGGGCTGATCAACTGCACCCTGCAGCACCTCACACAGCGCCAGCCTCCACTCCAGCACCGCTTGCTGCGGCTTCTCCTGCGAGTCAGCCAGGAAGACCTGGATGGTGCCGGGGTCTCCTGGCTCATAGTCCACCCACGCCGTGTACGCCTTCCTGTTGCTCAGACGGAAGGGTGACCTCACAGCGACTAGCGATCTGTCTTCGCCTCGAACGTTCAGCCCGACATGGTGGCTGCTCATGTCGCCATGCTCCTTGTTCTGCAGAGTGTCAAACTCCACCGCCATGCTCCGTGTGTCCATTCCACCATACCCCACCCCAGCGCCACTCCCCACCTGGTCCGTTGCCGAGATGACAAACGCTAAGCCGTTGAAGCCCACGTGGCCAGATCGAGGCAAGAGGGAGAAGGTAAAGTTGGCGTGAAAGGCGAGCTGCAGCCCACACCGCGACAGTCCCTGGTTTGCCTCGTACACAAACAACTTCACCGGCTCTGCGGTGAAGTTCCCCTTCGTCTCGCGCTGCCCCCCCCTGGTGAGTATAGATGCTGGTGGGAGAACCGCTTGACTGCTTGAGTAGTTTTTGTTCTGGCCTGCACAAACATACCAGACGGATGGACAGAAGTGGGATATGTGTAAGAACTTGAGCGAGACTTGATTGATTTAATAAAGGAGCTCAAGAATTCTAAGTACATTAGAAAATGGGTGGGAACAGATGGGCAGGGGATCGGGGGCAATTCCCAATAAGATCGACTGAAATCTTCAACTGGTGTTGGAGTTGAAGGTTTCAGTTGACCACATCACATTTGGGTTGGGTTGGGATATTGGTGTAACACCCAACCACAAAAACTACTACACTAAAGTAGGACATTAAAAGTGCAAGTAAAAGACGTGAGGTGGAAGTCTATCGCTAACAATATGGAGGTATGACAGGGTGATACCTAAGAATTCCGATCAACAAGCGACTGGAGTTCATGTGAGTTGGACGTCCCACCATTCTGTAAATCAGTATGTGGTCATGTTTCATAGATTTCAAGTGGTGTCCCCTACCTTGAGCAACACAGGTGATCCCTCCAAATTGCACGAATCCCGCATCACACAGACATGTGGGTGCCAAGCTAGCCCCCTCTGGATAGCACACCCCATGTCCTCCACACGCAGCAGCAGCAGCAGCACCAGCAGCAGAGGAGACGCCACAGAATGCATTGCATGCTGCCTCCTGTCGCTGGGGCACCAAGGCACAGCCAAGCGGCAACGTGAAGCAGTTGGCATCAAAAGAGTGAGGCTGGCATGCCCCGTCGGGCAGAGGGCCCGAGAGGAAGTTGCTGGAGAGATATAGGGTTCGCGCAGCAAGGAGCTTCAGTGCGCGGCCTGTGAGGTAGTTGTGAGAGAGGTCTCTGCAAGAAGGAGGTGCAAGTGGCGGGAGAAGGATGGGTGGGGATCACCTCACTGCACCTGGATAGAAAAAAGTGGAGTGCACTGAGCGAAGATGTGAGGGGTTGTTGAGAAGAATGGGTATACGGATGGGGGAGCAGAAGGGGATAGACACGGGCTGGCGGAGGAGAAGAATAAGGAGTCAACGAGAAGGGGAGCAGAAGGGGAAGGTGAGGTGGAAGAGAAGGATACAGAAGAGGGAGAGGAAGAAGAGGCGTACGAGGATGGTTGGTTGATTGAGACCAGGGAAGACAGAAATCCGAGAAATGAGGAAGAGAGAAACGAGGAAGCAATCCGAGGAATGTGAAGATGGGTATACAGGGCACTGGCACAGCAACCACGGGCATTCGTGTGCTTTTCTATTGACTGGTTTGACTCTTAAGTGGTACTGGGTAGTGTTCAATGTTATAGACCAGCACTCTAGGATGATGATGCACCAGCATGCGAAGTGGGATGCTGCTGGTGGGCTTTTTGAAGGAAAATGTTTCACAAAACTAGGGCAGGAAGAAGAACAGAGAGATCGTGGGGCTAACCAAAGTAAGGAGAATTCAACTGAGCACCACATTTGAAGTACAGCAACCCATCCATTCAAAACAATGGAAAAAGGGTGCACTCCACGAATGACTTCATTGCATGGACACACGTATGTATCAAAGTCACCCCCTTGTGTTCTTAGCTCGCGCTCATCATGAGAAAAGCTCTCGTGTGAGAGGAAATTGACAGCACTAGACAAGAGGGCAACTGACAGGTGAGAAACTTGGGTGAGTGTGCTGATGGTAGCAGGAATGCTGCCAGACAGTTGGTTGCTTGAAAAATCTCTGAGTGGAAAAAGAATGCCAAATTATAAACACCACTGAGGTTATAGTGAGGTGAAATGATAAAAGTACGCATGAGCACAAAAAATTACCGCGGTTCGGTTCAGGGCGGTTCAGTTCATTTTTTACCCAAACTATACCGTTTTTCTTTTTTGCGGCCGTTATTTTCTTCTTCAACAAATTGAACCAGTTCTTCTGTTCGGCTGGTTTGTTTTCAACAACTATCCGAGCCACGCCGAAGCTCCAGCTCCCTCATAGCCTAACATTGGTGTGTTTCCCACGGTTCTTTTTAGATAACAGCTCCTTTTTCTGTTTCAGCCAGTGTAACGATAGTGAAATGTTCAAGGAGAGAAACTTGGAGGCCGTGGTTGTGAGAGCAGCAGTTCTATTGATTAGACTGTTAAGATACATTTGAGCAAGGAAGTTGGGAAAACCTAACCAACCCGACCCGTGGTTTAGGGCTGGTCGGGTCAGGGATTTCAGAAATGTGCCCCGCGCGGGTTGGCCCGACCGAACCCGAGCTAAAACCCGACCCAAGTACAGAACTTGGGCCGAGTCAGGGCCGGGTTTTGGGCCAGGATTGACCCAACCCGATTTCAACTCTGTAGGGTTCGAAACCCTAGACAAATTTGATGACGAGGATTAAGAAGTCCCTCGACATCAGAACTTGGGCTGAGTCGGGACGGGTTTCGAGCCAGGATTGACCCGACCCGATATCGGGTCTTGGTCGGGGAATTCGGGCCGGGCCAACTCTGTAGGGTTCGAAACCCTACATAAATTTGATGTCGAGGATTGAACGGTCATCAGAACATGAGCACGCGCCACGCCAAGTAGCCAAACTTCAGCCACTAATGTTACCTAAGCTAAGTTAGTAGCTATTTTAAAGCCTACAGAACCATGTTTTCCGACATTTCTATTTACTATGAAGATGATACTCTGCTATTAAAGGAGACTGCACTGGTGGGATAGTATACTCACGAGTTCACGTTTTACTAGTGCGATTTCACCTTCAAGGCTGCACGCGCCATGTCTTAAAACAACCACCGTTCATAAGTGGGCCCAGCACATAAACTAGTACCAATTCGTACTGATTGACGGGCGCCGCATGCACAGCACTTTTCACTACAGCTAATACACACCCGTACCCCGTAACAGGGCGGGTCAGCCTGGCCCGACCCGACCCGACCCGGGGTCGGGTCAGTTCTGACCCGAATTTCAAAACTCGGGTCGGGTCAGACCCTCCACAAGCTTGGCTCGAAGCTGGCCCGACCCGGGAACCCATCTGGCCCAGCCAAGTCGGGTCGGGTCGGGTCAGGCCGGGCCACATGGTCATGACTAGGTGGAAGGGGGCGTCGTAGACTATGAGAAAATTAGAGCTTGAAATAAAGCTACAACACTCTCTGGTTTCAAGGTTATATTCACACCCAAACTGGTCCGTACTAAACTTTTGGCTCAAGGACAATGGCTCAATTCAGAAAAAAACAAACCAAACTGCACAGAACCAAATCGTGTTGATCCGATCAAGCACTAGGATGAGAAGAAGGCTGATGATAGTCTCGCGGGATTTGGTGTATGTATGAAAGTAGGGGAGTAAGTAAAAACCAGTGATATTGTGATGGGAAATAGAATGGGGCTACTACACCAGGAAGATTTTATCTGAGCACCACTTTTCACCACACCCCATCCAGTCACAACTCTGATCATGGGATCTAAATGGGTGCTTCGCAAAAGACTTTAATGCATGCATGTACGCCCCTAATGTTGTTAGCTCACGCTTAACATAAAAAAGAAGCTCCCCTGTGAGAGGAAACTGACAGCACTAGACTAGAGTAGAGAGTCACTAACAGGCAAAGAAGTTGGGCGAGTGTGCTGATGGCAGCAGGAATGCTGCCAGACAACTGGTTGCTTGAAACGGCTCTGAAATGAAGCCAGATTATAAAATACCACTGGGGTTATAGTGACGTTGTAGCATACAAGAGAAGACCAGACTGAAGCGAGGGAGGACAGCGATGAGGTTGGGTAAGACCATACAAAGGGTGATTAGCATATGAAGATGGTCGTCCTTTGGAGAAGACGAGACGAGGCAAAATGCTAGAAGAATGTGAGGCAACACGAATATTGGAATTATGATATTACGACATCCACTTGCAGAAAATATATTGTGAGAATTTGATCACAAGAAAGAAGATAAGATCTCAATGAAGGGAAAAGGAAGTGAGCAATCGAAACAGGGAAGTGAAGGGATTTTGGGGAGAACTGAAGGAGATAAAAGAGGTCGTGCTATACTGAAAAGGGGGGGAAAGAATCCTGGGAGAGCACAGGAGATGTGAGAAGAACAACAAAAGCGTATCTTCTTACATATTTGTCAACTTGGTGAGGGCGCCAATGTCTGCCGGAATGGAGCCGTTGAGCTGGTTGGAGGCAAGCGACCTGTCCCAATCAGGGTGTTCAATCAAGGCATGAGCAAAATCCGTGTCGTGTGCCTTAAGACTTGAAGGCTTGAAGAGCGCGGTTCTGAAACTCTTCACCCCCATCTAGTGCGCAAGTGGTTTTGGTTCGGTTATTGCTCATGCCTAGGAATGTGGGCGAAGCACCTACAATGGATCCTTACATGGCTACCAGCTTTGTCAGCAAGCCAATGCCAGCGGGGATGGAGCTGGTGAGCCGGTTGTTAGCGAGGGAGCTGTCCGAGACAGGGAGACGAGGGACACGTGGGAGGCGTGCAAGGGCGATGGACAAATTGGTGAGAAGGAAGGTGGGACGGTGATTATTAGCATGAGACTGGACATGAGGAAGGATCAATCGGGTTGGCCCATTTTGAACCTCACCAGCCTGATGGCCAGGTGGGGTTCCAATCAGCCATGGGCGGTTCGTCACAGGGTTGCCCGAGTTTGGCCTGAATCACAAATGCTGTAAACGGACTTTCCAAGGCTTAACTGTTCTGTGAACGAATGTTTGAGCACATAAATGGAATAAAACAATGTGGTTCAAACACAGAGAATCACTGTCTTTGGAAAGCTGCCCACCTTGATTTGTGCCGGCCCTGCCCTGGCTCAGCCCTTGATCGTACCTAACTTGTGCTACTACAATAGCTCTTGTTGCACACTCTGCAAAGGTTTCTGACAAAGAAAAACAATACAATGGATTATTTACAGGAATGTAAGAGCAGTGAGCTTTGTGATTGCAGAGGGCAAAGATCCTGAGAGCAAGTTGGAGTTGAGAGAGCTGTGGTGATGATGTGGCGGGTGGACGCACGGAAAGAAAATATGAGTTCATTGGCGTGTTTGCAGGACACGATAGGGAAGGGAATGGGGCCCGTGACGAGAAGGAAATGTAGAGGTCAAAAAGGTGACCAATTCGAGAGAGACGAGATAGTAGGTTGGGGGGGAGGGATCACACATTATCAAAGGCTTGCTACGACGGACGAGCCACGGGCCGAGTCAGCCCGGCCCGTCGAGTGGAGACTCCGGCTTGGCTTGTCAGCCCACCGGCTTTCCATGGCCCAAAAACGAGCCAGCTTAGCCCAGTCTTATGCTCATGTGACAGAAAGGAGCCTTACAGGGATGCCAGAGATAGTAGAGAGCCAATCTCCACAGGAATTGAACCCGTGAGCTGATTACTCTTGAGGGACCTGCCATTGCGTACGAATGCAAGAAGGAAGAACCAGACCAGCACTCTAGGATGATGATGCACCAGTATGCGAAGTGGGATGCTGCTGGTGGGCTTTTTAAAGGAAAATGTTTCATGAAACTAGGGCAGTAAGAAGAACAGAGAGATCGTGGGGCTAACCAAAGTAAGGAGAATTCAACTGAGCACCACATTTGAAGTACAGCAACCCATCCATTCAAAACAATGGAAAAGGGGGGCACTCCACGAACGACTTCATTGCATGGACAAACGTATGTATCAAAGTCACCCCCTTGTGTTCTTAGCTCGCGCTCATCATGAGAAAAGCTCTCCTGTGAGAGGAAATTGACAGCACTAGACAAGAGGGCAACTGACAGGCGAGAAACTTGGGTGAGTGTGCTGATGGTAGCAGGAATGCTGCCAGACAGTTGGTTGCTTGAAAAATCTCTGAGTGGAAAAAGAATGCCAAATTATAAACACCACTGAGATTATAGTGAGGTGAAATGATAAAAGTCCGCATGAGCACAAAAAATAACCGCGGTTCGGTTCGTTTTTTACCCAAACTATACCGTTTTTCTTTTTTGCGGCCGTTTTTTTTTTTTCAACAAATTGAACCAGTTCTTCTGTTCGGCCGGTTTGTTTTCAACAACTATCCGAGCCACGCCGAAGCTCCAGCTCCCTCATAGCCTAACATTGGTGTGTTTCCCACGGTTCTTTTTAGATAACAGCTCCTTTTTCTGTTTCAGCCAGTGTAACGATAGTGAAATGTTCAAGGAGAGAAACTTGGAGGCCGTGGTTGTGAGAGCAGCAGTTCTATTGATTAGACTGTTAAGATACATTTGAGCAAGGAAGTTGGGAAAACCTAACCAACCCGACCCGTGGTTTAGGGCTGGTCGGGTCAGGGATTTCAGAAATGTGCCCCGCGCGGGTTGGCCCGACCGAACCCGAGCTAAAACCCGACCCAAGTACGGAACTTGGGCCGAGTCAGGGCCGGGTTTTGGGCCAGGATTGACCCAACCCGATTTCAACTCTGTAGGGTTCGAAACCCTAGACAAATTTGATGACGAGGATTAAGAAGTCCCTCGACATCAGAACTTGGGCTGAGTCGGGACGGGTTTCGAGCCAGGATTGACCCGACCCGATATCGGGTCTTGGTCGGGGAATTCGGGCCGGGCCAACTCTGTAGGGTTCGAAACCCTACATAAATTTGATGTCGAGGATTGAACGGTCATCAGAACATGAGCACACGCCACGCCAAGTAGCCAAACTTCAGCCACTAATGTTACCTAAGCTAAGTTAGTAGCTATTTTAAAGCCTACAGAACCATGTATTCCGACATTTCTATTTACTATGAAGATGTTACTCTGCTATTAAAGGAGACCGCACTGGTGGGATAGTATACTCACGAGTTCACGTTTTACTAGTGCGATTTCACCTTCGAGGCTGCACGCGCCATGTCTTAAAACAACCACCGTTCATAAGTGGGCCCAGCACATAAACTAGTACCAATTCATACTGATTGACGGGCGCCGCATGCACAGCACTTTTCACTACAGCTAATACACACCCGTACCCCGTAACAGGGCGGGTCAGCCTGGCCCGACCCGACCCGACCCGGGGTCGGGTCAGTTCTGACCCGAATTTCAAAACTCGGGTCGAGTCAGACCCTCCACAAGCTTGGCTCGAAGCTGGCCCGACCCGGGAACCCATCTGGCCCAGCCAAGTCGGGTCGGGTCGGGTCAGGCCGGGCCACATGGTCATGACTAGGTGGAAGGGGGCGTCGTAGACTATGAGAAAATTAGAGCTTGAAATAAAGCTACAACACTCTCTGGTTTCAAGGTTATATTCACACCCAAACTGGTCCGTACTAAACTTGTGGCTCAAGGACGATGGCTCAATTCAGAAAAAAACAAACCAAACTGCACAGAACCAAATCGTGTTGATCCGATCAAGCACTAGGATGAGAAGAAGGCTGATGATAGTCTCGCGGGATTTGGTGTATGTATGAAATTAGGGGAGTAAGTAAAAACCAGTGATATTGTGATGGGAAATAGAATGGGGCTACTATACCAAGAAGATTTTATCTGAGACTTTTCACCACACCCCATCCAGTCACAACTCTGATCATGGGATCTAAATGGGTGCTTCGCAAAAGACTTTAATGCATGCATGTACGCCCCTAATGTTGTTAGCTCACGCTTAACATAAAAAAGAAGCTCCCCTGTGAGAGGAAACTGACAGCACTAGACTAGAGTAGAGAGTCACTAACAGGCAAAGAAGTTGGGCGAGTGTGCTGATGGCAGCAGGAATGCTGCCAGACAACTGGTTGCTTGAAACGGCTCTGAAATGAAGCCAGATTATAAAATACCACTGGGGTTATAGTGACGTTGTAGCATACAAGAGAAGACCAGACTGAAGCGAGGGAGGACAGCGATGAGGTTGGGTAAGACCATACAAAAGGTGATTAGCATATGAAGATGGTCGTCCTTTGGAGAAGACGAGACGAGGCAAAATGCTAGAAGAATGTGAGGCAACACCAGGCATGATCATTAGGCCCGACCCGACCTGACCCGACCCGACTTGGGCGGGCCAGCCGGGTTTTGGGTCGGGTCGGGTCGGGTCGGAACTTCTAGGAATCCTGGCCCGACCCGGGTATCGGGTGCCGGGTCAGGCTTGACCCGCCCCCGGGTCGGGTCGGGTAGGGGCCGGGTCGGGTCGGGTCGGGCCAGAACCCCATATGCAGTGTGTAGGGGTTTCCTCGCTACTGTCCAGTGTTGCAAAGACTGAATGTTTGTGTAATATATTATTATATGAACGTCCTCCCTTCTGTAAATTAACTATTCAAAGTTGCGTAAACAGTTACATGTGTTTGGAAAAAACCTACAAAGGCCTAAAAGCTAACGGAGTCAACTAGTAGTTCGACGCACAGGAATAAGAACCAATCAAGTTTTGGTCCGATCACGTTATCTGATGAAGTTAAGGGCATGAGCATCAATTACGAACAAATATCACAACCCCATCGATTCATCCTCCACTCCCAGGGTGGGATTGGCCGTTGAGGTGCCCTTGGGAGCGAGAGTCCCCGAAGGGTGGTGGTCCTGCCACGTCTTAATCAGCATGGAAGCACGCACTTGGCCAGCTGCCAGTCGGTGTCGCTGCCAAGTAATGATGTTCCTGCTCTGTGAGAATGCGCGCTCACTCGCTGCTGACGAAGCCGGTACCCCTAGATAATCTTTAGCCATCGCCCTCAAGCCCTTCAGTGTCTCCCTGCTGCGCCAATACTCCAATGCGCTTCCACCCCTCTGCCTCCCCTCTGCCAGGTACTGATCCACCTCATCCTGTAGATCCTCCCCCTCTTCGGCCTCCATGGCGTCCCACGCAGCGAACAACTGAGACTGGATGCTGACATTTGCCGATGCATCCACAGCCCCACCCCCTGCCGACGCATGCACCCCTGCACCCCTCGCACTAGTCACCTCCCCACCATCTCGCAGCGCCGTGGTGCTGGCTGCCTGGTACTCTGGAAGGCGCGCTCGTACCAGGGCCTTCACCCTATCAGGTCCTAGCTCCAGTGTTGTCCCTCTCGAATTCCCCTCTGCTGCCCTGGCTCGGTGCTTGAAGGGCGCGAGCTTCTGGCGCGGGTCCAAGAAAGTGGCTATCGCTGCCTCCTCGCTCACACCCCCCATGTGTCGCTCCAGCTTGCTCAGAGCAGCAGTGATCAGCGATGAGCGCAGAGGGGAGATGCCAGGAGTGCGCTGTGCCTTCTCCTGCAGATCAATCAGCGCGTTGTACTGCGGTACAACGGCTGAGAGGGTAGGGTACAGGGAACCCTCGGCGAAGAGGGTGACTTGCTCGAATGGGGTGAGGAAGTCTCGGAGCTCGGCGAGGTCGTCCCAGTGCGCATCCGTCAACCTGATGGCGTCCCACGCCTTCTTAGTCTCCTTGCTGATGGATGACTGGTATGGGTCACATGGGTTGTAAAGATGGAGGCACAGCATGGGATTGTGGCACATGCATGGGATGGTGGCACATGCATGGGATGGTGGGACATGCATGCATGGGATGGTGGGACATGCATGCATGGGATGGTGGCACATGCATGGGATGGTGGCACATGCATGGGATGGTGGGACATGCATGCATGGGATGGTGGGACATGCATGCATGGGATGGTGGCACATGCATGGGATTGTGGCACATGCATGGGATGGTGGCACATGCACGCATGGGATGGTGGCACATGCATGGGATTGTGGCACATGCATGGGATGGTGGGACATGCATGCATGGGATGGTGGGACATGCATGCATGGGATGGTGGCACATGCATGGGATTGTGGCATATGCATGGGATGGTGGCACATGCACGCATGGGATGGTGGCACATGCATGGGATGGTGGCACATGCATGGGATGGTGGGACATGCATGCATGGGATGGTGGGACATGCATGCATGGGATGGTGGCACATGCATGGGATTGTGGCACATGCATGGGATGGTGGCACATGCACGCATGGGATGGTGGCACATGCATGGGATGGTGGCACATGCATGGGATTGTGGCACATGCATGCATGGGATGGTGGCACATGCATGGGATGGTGGGACATGCATGCATGGGATGGTGGCACATGCATGGGATTGTGGCACATGCATGCATGGGATGGTGGCACATGCATGGGATGGTGGCACTATTCAAGCCATGCCCACGTACCCCCATTCGCCATAGTCACAAGCGAATGTGAATCCAACCATACGTACATCTGAATCGTCGAAAAACATGGCAATGGGCATGCGCAGCTCGAAGCCCCTGTTCACCATGTGGAGTGTAGAACCCCATCTCGTCACGCAGTCCACGATCAAACGCAACGGACCCGATGGTCGCCGAGAACCGGGAGGACCCTGGGGCCGGGTCGCCGCGTATCCCTTTTGGAGCTCGAAGAAACGATCTGTGCGCAGTGTGGACCAGCCGATGTAGTTCGCCACGTCTCGCAGCCTCTTGAGTGGCTCGGCCACCTCGTCAACCTTCAGTGCAGCTTGCACTGCAAGGTTGACGACGTGCGCCATGCACCTGTTGGGGCAATGCATTGTGCACAACCTTAATGTCACTGTACCACATGAGCACTTCCATAACAAACATGGTGGACTACGCCAACAGTTTATAGCATACCCTTACGGAGACAGCCCCATAGTACCTGAAGTGCCTCCAGCGACTGAGCAGTGGTGGGTGCCTGGGCCGTGAGCCCGGCCTGGCGTCAGGTACACCGGCCAGCAGACGCATCGCCCTGCTGTTGTTCTCGGCGTTGTCACACGTCACGGCGAACAGCATCTTCTCCAAGCCCCACTCCCTCAACACCTCCTCCAGCTCATCGGCTATCAAGTCCCCCGTATGAGAGCCCTTAAGCTCCCTGAAGTCTATAACAGCCTGTTTTAGCTGGAAATCGCTGGTGACATAGTGGGCAGTCACCCCCATGAAGGCCACGTTGTTCTCACCGGTCCAGATGTCAAAGGTGAGGGACATCCTTCCCGCCAGGCCATCACCCACCAGTAGCTGCCGCATGTCCTCCCGAGCAGCCTCCCCGTATGCCTGCATGTCCCGTGCCAAGCGATGGCGTGAGCCGAGCAGTAGCGCAGCTCCCGGGTTCAGCATCTGGACAAATGCTTTGAACTGTAACGCAGGAGTCAAAGGATGTCGGTAAAAGGATTATGAAGATGCTTCGGGATTAGCCAACAGAATGCAGTGCGGCTGCCCTGTACGAATATGACCACCTCAATACGAAGATGAACATGACCAACGGCAAGAGAACGGCGTCACTCACCTCGCGACACTCAACAAGTCGAAACGGAAGGTCAGCTGCCGCAAATAGCAGCACCAATCCCTCGCGCAGCTGCCGGCCATGAACACGCGGCGTGACGAATGCGGCCATGCTCATCTGCCTACTCCCACCAGCCTCGGATCCGCCAGTCACAGCGCTGTCTGGTGTCTGTACAATCCTGGGCCACGTGGCTGCATGCTCCCAAGGCCACGCTGTCTGGTCGGGGACATCCGGACCCCATCCCCCATCGGGAAACGTCAGGTTGTCTGGCTTGTTTGGATCCTTGAAACGCCGACACCAGATCTGCAGACTGGGGTAGTGGCTCCTCTTAAGGTGTCTCTTCCCCGTGCTCGTGCAACTACCTTTCCAGCTAATCTTCTTCTTGCAAATCTTGCAATTCCTAGCCTCGTTCACATCCTTCTCACTGAACATGCCACGAACCAGGCCGGGTTCTGCATTCCTAAGCACCTCCTCAGTCCATGGGTCCAGCTCCTCGTCGGTAGGGGTCCTGCCCGCCCTGTCGGACCTCTGGCTTGCAATCACAGCAGCAGCTCCAGCCCCCGTAGACCCACCCAAAGGTGCACCACCTGCCGCAGCGGCGGAGGTACCTGCCCCTGCTGCGCCCGACCCCTCAGAACCACCCGCGGCTGCCCCCTGCGGCTGCGAATTCGACGCCGGCCCGGCCCCTCCAGCTCCCGACCCCACAGGCCCACTCGGGCGTGGCCTCTTTGCTGCTGCACCGCTGCCACGCGCGCCACTGCCACCAGCCTGGCCCGCTCCTCTCCCTCCCCAACCCTCATCACCCGATCCTCCACTCGTGCCGGCCGCCTCCCCCGGAGCCGGCCTCCAATCCGGGTCCTTCTCCTTTCCCCGTGTTCCTTGCTCCTCCGTCACCGGGCCAGGTCCTAGAGACTCCCATTCCCGCACCTCTTCACGCCTCCTCGTCGCGATTGCATCGTCCCACCCAATTTCCTGCCCATTGAAGACGCTCCCCAAGCGAAAACTGGCCCTGGAGGCCGGTGTCGGGAGGCCTCCAAGTGAAGCCCCAGGAATAGCCCGTGAGCTGTCTTCTTCCCCCTCCATTCGCGTGCAAGCGGCGTCGATTACGTTTCGGACCTTGGAGTCGCGACGTTTTTGTAATGGCGCAGGCCTAGACAATTGGGGGTCGCGTCCCTAAAGATGCGGGCGTGGTAGGCGCGAAGTGGGCGATTTGAACGCGGGGCCAGAGTTTAGTCGTGTGTGAGAGCTTGGAATAAGTAAGTCTATAAAATCGAAAATCTGTGGTTGGTCACGCTAGGCTAAGAACTCCATTCCGCCAACATTGAACCACATGAAATAGGGTTCCTAAACATGGGCGCTGGTTTAGAGAGTTATAGAGGTTAAGAACGACTAGGTTAGAGAGTGCTAGCTGCCTAGGTATAGCAGATCGAAGTCAATGTCGAGGGAAAAAAAAAACCCTAGACATTGACTTGGCGATCTGCTTTACTTCGAATTGTCGAGGGAGGGAAACTCGGGTCGGGCATTTGGCGCGGTACCCGATTTCGAGTCGGGTCAAATTTCGGGTCAAAAACTGACCCGACCCGACCCGACCCGGTTTCGGGTGTCGGGTCGGCCCGACCCGGCCGGGTAAACCCGACCCGACCCGCCCGGGTCAACGCTTCAAAATGTCTGGCCCGACCCGGGTCAAAACCCGGGTCGGGTCGGGTCGGCCCGACCCGCCGGGGCAGGATGATCATGCCTAGGCAACACGAATATTGGAATTATGATATTACGACATCCACTTGCAGAAAATATCTTGTGAGAATTTGATCACAAGAAAGAAGATAAGATCTCAATGAAGGGAAAAGGAAGTGAGCAATCGAAACAGGGAAGTGAAGGGATATAGGGGAGAACTGAGGGAGATAAAAGAGGTCGTGCTATACTGAAAAGGGGGGGAAAGAGTCCTGGGAGAGCACAGGAGATGTGAGAAGAACAACAAAAGCGTATCTTCTTACATATTTGTCAACTTGGTGAGGGCGCCAATGTCTGCCGGAATGGAGCCGTTGAGCTGGTTGGAGGCAAGCGACCTGTCCCAATCAGGGTGTTCAATCAAGGCATGAGCAAAATCCGTGTCGTGTGCCTTAAGACTTGAAGACTTGAAGAGCGCGGTTCTGAAACTCTCCACCCCCATCTGGTGCGCAAGTGGTTTTGGTTCGGTTATTGCTCATGCCTAGGAATGTGGGCGAAGCACCTACAATGGATCCTTACATGGCTACCAGCTTTGTCAGCAAGCCAATGCCAGCGGGGATGGAGCTGGTGAGCCGGTTGTTAGCGAGGGAGCTGTCCGAGACAGGGAGACGAGGGACACGTGGGAGGCGTGCAAGGGCGATGGACAAATTGGTGAGAAGGAAGGTGGGACGGTGATTATTAGTAGGGATGAGCAAATGGCGAACTCGAACACGTTTGGGTTCGAGTTCGCTCGAACATCATCTTTTCCCGAACCGAACACAGTTCGGTTCGGCGAACAACTTAGGGTTCAGGTGCTGTTCGCCGTTCGCCCTTGGGCGTGTGAACATTTAGTACGTGTGGACGAACTCGAACATGTTCGAACCGAACATGTTCGAGTTCGCCCGTGGCCACTTTCATTATAGTCACAATAGAGAAACTCCGAATCTGGAGGGTTGGGAAGATAGATAGGGGGTGGAGGGTGTATATATAATCATGCAACGCACACTAGCATACGACACCATCATGTAGTGCCTATATAAAAGTCACTGCCAAATTACATCCTACGCCTGCACACCACTGCTACTACCAACAACAGCATGCTCCGCGTCAGAGGTGTCGCCAACACCCACCCCCACCTGCTCCTCCTCCCCCTCCTCCTCCTCCCACTCGTCGTCCTCCTCCTCCCCCTCGCCTTCAATGGCGAACTCTGGTGGTGCCTCGCCTTTTGGACGGCGGCCCTCGCTGATCCTCTGTCCAGGGTGTGAGGTGTACCATGATCTGAGAATCATGGAAGCTCGCGTCCTCTGAGAGGCTAGGCGGTGCCGCTTCCAGGATATGAGGTTGCGGCCGAGGGAGAACACGCGCTCGCTCGACGCGGACGTGACAGGGATGGCAAGATAATCCCGGGCCATGCGCCTCAGCGTCTGCATGTTGGTGGTGCTGCGCCAATACTCCAACACTGACACGTCGCACCGCACCCTCTCAGATAAGTACCTGCCAACCTCGTCATCTTGCACCATCCCACCCCTCCCCGCCTCCTGGCTCGCCGACAGACGCGCCGCAAGGCGTCGGCGACTAGGGAGAAACTCGGTGTTTTCGTCGTCATCCGCCGCGTCTCCCTCCTCCTCCTCCGTCACTGGGGCAAGTGGGGTCGGCTGAGGGGAAATCGCTGCAGCCCGGGCCTGGTACTCGGCCACGCGTTCGCGAACCACCTGGATCACCTCGCCTGACGAGGGACGAGGCCTCGCCCTCCGCTCTGTATCGGGATGTAGCGTCTCCCAGTGCGCGTCGTCGAACCACGCCGCCTTCATGGAAGGGTCCAGGAAGGTGGCGATCGCGATCCACAACTCGTTGCTCGACATCAACTCATCCTTCTTCAAGAGACCCAGCGCCGCCTCAATCATCGGCTTCAGCGTAGCCGATGGCCCCTTGGCAAGGCGCGACTCCATAGCGTCGATCAGGCCGTTGTAGTACGGCAGGACCATCGACACTGTAGGGTACGCCGCTCCCTCTGCGGCCTTGGAGACTTTGGCGAATGGGCTGAGGAAGGTCTTGACAGAATGCAGAGTCTCCCAGTCTGCGTCTGTCAGGCGCAAGGTGTCCATCTTCGCCTTGTCAGCCTTCGATACGCCCTGTCGGGTAGAACGTATGGGTGGGTGGGCGGGTGATAGGATGGAAAGTGAGGTGGTTGAGGTTGTTGGAGGTCCGGAAAGTTTAGTCAAGCATGGCCAACAGTGGTGCAAGTCCCAGAAGAAAACACCCCGACCGACATACCAACACATAAAACAGCATACACAACATCTGGCACACACACACACCTGTGTCTGGGCAAAGAAGATAGAGATGGGTTCCTGCAGAACCCCGGCTCGCTCGACCATGTCGTGGGTGGACCCCCAGCGTGTGGGACTCTCCTGCACCAGCTTCAATGCTGGCTTCGGTTTGGCGGGGTTGCCCTGTGCGTTCAGAGTCCGCTGAAGGCCCAAGAACTTCCCCGAGCGCTGCGGCGAGTAGCCTATCCACGACGCCATCTCTCTCAGAATTTTCAGCAACTTGCGGATGGCGGTCACTGCGAGTGCTGCCTTCACTGCAAGGTTGATCACGTGTGCCAGGCATCTGCGCACACCACAAAACATTCATGGCGGAGAGAAAGGGAAGTGTGAGTACACATTGGCATAGATCCAAAATACACTACCACTCTCAAGCCGCATAGGCCCACCCGCCTGTACTACAACCACAACATGTTCACATCACAGGAACGACGCACCCAGTCTCCCTCATCGCACATCCCACGCACACTCCCTTTCGTACCGGAAGTGCATGCGCGAGTTGAAGAAGCACTGGCCACCACCCTCCTCCGACATCCACCTGAAAGCGGCAGTGTTGCTGGAGGCGTTGTCAGAGGTGAACCCAAGACAACGCGTCTCCAACCCCCACTGCACCACCGTCTCCTCAACCACCCTCGCCATCTGCTTGCCCGTGTGACGCCCGTGAATCTCGCGGAATTCAAACACCATTGTGCGCAGCTAGTAATTCTCGTCGATCCAGTGACCCGTTACCACTAGCCACGCCCTGTTGTTGGGCGACGTCCACATGTCGATGGTGAACGACACCCTGCACCCCAGCTCCCCCTCCTTCGTCAGCATCTCCGCAATGGCTGACTGAAGAGCGGCAGCCGCATAGACCACTGTGTCGCAGGAAACCGTTCAGCGCGAGGGGATGAAGTTTTTCTGCGCGCAGTTGCGGTTTAACAGGATGAGTAGCTCACGAAACTGGAGAGGGGAAGAGACAAGGGGGGAGAGGGAGTACACGTTAGGGGGATGGGATGAAAATAATATAGCACTGCACTGGGCCACACAAAAACTGATGTAAACACAAAGGGACAGACACGTCCACTAACCACAAACTTGCCCAATCATGCATAGGATGGGATGGGGCACTTACAGCCTCGGCCTCCACGATGCGGAAGGGGAGGTCGCAGGTGACCACCAGCTTCGTGATCGCCTGCCGTAGCTGCACCGAGGTCAGTTTGGTTGTCATCCACCGCTCGATCCCTCCTGACCCATCACCTCCACCAGTCGCCATCGCTTTCCCCTTGGCGAGCTGCGGCCAAGTCTTCGCATGTGGCCACTGATAGACGTAGCCATCCGGCACTCCCTTGTAGCCCCCTCGTGGAAACGTCTCCCCTGGCAAGTGAACGGACGGGGTGTGGTAACGGTGATGCCACACATGCATGTGCGCAGTGTGGAAGCTCGCAAAGTGCCGCTCGCCCGGGGTTGTTGTGGATTGCTTCCACGAAATCCTGTCTGTGCAAATCTTGCACTGACGCTTATCGTCTGCCCCTAACGGTCCGAACATCATAACTTGCCACCCCGGCTTCCTATTACCCTTGCCAGTCCCCTTACTACTCTCGGACCCTCCGTCCTCGTCTAGGAACTCGGGAGCGATCACACCCTCGCCCAAGGGCTCCCCAGTGAACGTGCAGGGATACGCACGCTCTCTCAACTTGTTCGCTTTCTTCCTCTGCCTCGGCTCCCTAATGGTCACGGCCTTCCCCCCCCCCACCTTAACCCCCACGCTCCCTCCCCCTTCATGCACATGCTGTGATCCCGCCTCTGTCGCCGCCCTTCCACCACCCTCTCCCACCTCCTCCTCCCGCCCCGATGGCTCCAACCCATCCATCTCGTGGTCTTCATCATCATCATCTCCCCCCTCCCCACCGCCATGCGTCTCTGGGTCCCACGCCGCCTCGCTGTCATCCCCGCTCCCCTCAGTGTCCTCCTCCTTCTCGCCCTCACCATCCTCCTCCTCATCCTCCTCCTCACTGACACTCTCCGGCTGCGTCGGCGTCTGCCCTGAAGGAGGGGGCCGAGGGCCGTCGTAACGGAAAGAGCGACGAGAGCTCGGCGCCGGTACGGTAAGCAACCCCCCAACGAAGATCGCGCCGGCTCCACCCGGTCCATCCCCTACTCGCCCCTGCATAGGTCGTGGTGGAGATCCCGGTGCGCTGCGCTGAGCCCTGCCTGCACCTCGGCCTATGGATCCACCACCCCTGGAAGCCATCACTCTGCCCTCGACCATAAACCCCAAAACCCCCTAAGGCAACGTTAGCGTTGGATGGTGCCGCACGTTCCTAATGCCCGATCCGAATCCTAGAGCGAATGATACGCCCTACTTGAGCCCTTTGCGGAGATGCTCGCTGAACCTCCCTAGTAACCCTAAACTCCCTACACTACGTTAAACCCTATGCATAGTTCTTCTATCTAATCTAATATTCGTTCATTTACACTCCAAGTAATAACGTGCACTTGCTTGCACTTAGAAGAAGGAGGCTAGGGCGGCTGTGTGAGGGAGCGCTAAAGCCTATAAACAACTTCTGAGTTTGAGCTCACGAAATGAGCTCAAACTAAAATTGGCCGCGACCTAAATCTGGTCGCGGCCAATTTTGACGCCAACACATTTGGTGTTCGCGTCGAATCCCAGCCGAACACGAACATGTTGGTGTTCGGCTTGGAGAGGCAAATTCCAAAGCCGAACGTCGAACATGTTCGGCCGAACACCGAACATGTTCGGCCCGAACAATTTAGCCAAAAAAAAGCCTGTTCGGTTCGCCTCGAACATGTTCGAGGCGAACCGAACAGGCGTTCGGGATCTTGCTCATCCCTAATTACTAGCATGAGACTGGACATGAGGAAGGATCAATCGGGTTGGCCCATTTTGAACCTCACCAGCCTGATGGCCAGGTGGGGTTCCAATCAGCCATGGGCGGTTCGTCACAGGGTTGCCCGAGTTTGGCCTGAATCACAAATGCTGTAAACGGACTTTCCAAGGCTTAACTGTTCTGTGAACGAATGTTTGAGCACATAAATGGAATAAAACAATGTGGTTCAAACACAGAGAATCACTGTCTTTGGAAAGCTGCCCACCTTGATTTGTGCCGGCCCTGCCCTGGCTCAGCCCTTGATCGTACCTAACTTGTGCTACTACAATAGCTTTTGTTGCACACTCTGCAAGGTTTCTGACAAAGAAAAACAGTACAATGGATTATTTACAGGAAAGTAAGAGCAGTGAGCTTTGTGATTGCAGAGGGCAAAGATCCTGAGAGCAAGTTGGAGTTGAGAGAGTTGTGGTGATGATGTGGCGGGTCACGGGTGGACGCACGGAAAGAAAATATGAGTTCATTGGCGTGTTTGCAGGACACGATAGGGAAGGGAATGGGGCCAGTGACGAGAAGGAAATGTAGAGGTAAAAAAGGTGACCAATTCGAGAGAGACGAGATAGTAGGTCGGGGGGGAGGGATCACACATTATCAAAGGCTTGCTACGACGGACGAGCCACGGGCCGAGTCAGCCCGGCCCGTCGAGTGGAGACTCCGGCTTGGCTTGTCAGCCCACCGGCTTTCCATGGCCCAAAAACGAGCCAGCTTAGCCCAGTCTTATGCTCGTGTGGCAGAAAGGAGCCTTACAGGGATGCCAGAGATAGTAGAGAGCCAATCTCCACAGGAATTGAACCCGTGAGCTGATTACTCCCGAGGGACCTGCCATTGCGTACGAATGCAAGAAGGAAGAACCAGACCAGCACTCTAGGATGATGATGCACCAGTATGCGAAGTGGGATGCTGCTGGTGGGCTTTTTGAAGGAAAATGTTTCATGAAACTAGGGCAGTAAGAAGAACAGAGAGATCGTGGGGCTAACCAACGTAAGGAGAATTCAACTGAGCACCACCCCATCCATTCAAAACAAAGGAAAAAGGGGGCACTCCACGAATGACTTCATTGCATGGACACACGTATGTATCAAAGTCACCCCCTTGTGTTCTTAGCTCGCCCTCATCATGAGAAAAGCTCTCCTGTGAGAGGAAATTGACAGCACTAGACAAGAGGGCAACTCACAGGAGAGAAACTTGGGTGAGTGTGCTGATGGTAGCAGGAATGCTGCCAGACAGTTGGTTGCTTGAAACATCTCTGAGTGGAAAAAGAATGCCAAAAATATAAGTATCACTGAGGTTATAGCGTCTAGACGCTAGACGCAGGATGCTCCCTGCGTCTTCTGCAACTTAGACTCGGGATACCAGAGAAGACAAGACAGAAGAGAGGCGGGACAGCAATGAGGTTGGGGAAGACCATACAAAGGGTGAATAGCAAAAGAAGATGGTCGTCCCTTGGAGACGGACGAGACGAGATAGGCTGGTGAAGAAAATGCATCCATAGAGAAATGAAGGGAAAGAGGTAGAGCAAAGAAAGTGAGGTATACTGAACAGCGCGGGGAAAGATTCTTGGGAGCGCAAAGGAGATGAGAGAAGAACAACAAAAGCGTAACTTCTTACATGCTTCTCAACTTGGTGAGGACGCCAGTGTTATCCGGGATGGAGCCATTGAGCTGGTTGGAGGCAAGCGACCTGTCCCAATCAGGGTGTTCAATCAAGGCATGAGCAAAATCCGTGTCGTGTGCCTTAAGACTTGAAGGCTTGAAGAGTGCAGTTCTGAAACTCTCCACCCCTATCTGGTGCGCAAGTAGTTTTGGTTCGGTTATTGCTCTGAGAGCAAGTTGGAGTTGAGAGAGCTGTGGTGATGATGTGGCGGGTGGACGCACGGAAAGAAAATATGAGTTCATTGGCGTGTTTGCAGGACACAATAGGGAAGGGAATGGGGCCAGTGACGAGAAGGAAATGTAGAGGTCAAAAAGGTGACCAATTCGAGAGAGACGAGATAGTAGGTTGGGGGGGGGGGGGGGGGGGGATCACACATTATCAAAGGCTTGCTACGACGGACGAGCCACGGGCCGAGTCAGCCCGGCCCGTCGAGTGGAGACTCCGGCTTGGCTTGTCAGCCCACCGGCTTTCCATGGCCCAAAAACGAGCCAGCTTAGCCCAGTCTTATGCTCGTGTGGCAGAAAGGAGCCTTACAGGGATGTCAGAGATAGTAGAGAGCCAATCTCCACAGGAATTGAACCCGTGAGCTGATTACTCTCGAGGGACCTGCCATTGCGTACGAATGCAAGAAGGAAGAACCAGACCAGCACTCTAGGATGATGATGCACCAGTATGCGAAGTGGGATGCTGCTGATGGGCTTTTTGAAGGAAAATGTTTCATGAAACTAGGGCAGTAAGAAGAACAGAGAGATCGTGGGGCTAACCAAAGTAAGGAGAATTCAACTGAGCACCACATTTGAAGTACAGCAACCCATCCATTCAAAACAATGGAAAAAGGGTGCACTCCACGAATGACTTCATTGCATGGACACACGTATGTATCAAAGTCACCCCCTTGTGTTCTTAGCTCGCGCTCATCATGAGAAAAGCTCTCCTGTGAGAGGAAATTGACAGCACTAGACAAGAGGGCAACTCTTGTCAAATTATAAACACCACTGAGGTTATAGTGAGGTGAAATGATAAAAGTCCGCATGAGCACAACAAATTACCGCGGTTCGGTTCGTTTTTTACCCAAACTATACCGTTTTTCTTTTTTGCGGCCGTTTTTTTTTTCAACAAATTGAACCAGTTCTTCTGTTCGGCCGGTTTGTTTTCAACAACTATCCGAGCCACGCCGAAGCTCCAGCTCCCTCATAGCCTAACATTGGTGTGTTTCCCACGGTTCTTTTTAGATAACAGCTCCTTTTTATGTTTCAGCCAGTGTAACGATAGTGAAATGTTCAAGGAGAGAAACTTGGAGGCCGTGGTTGTGAGAGCAGCAGTTCTATTGATTAGACTGTTAAGATACATTTGAGCAAGGAAGTTGGGAAAACCTAACCAACCCGACCCGTGGTTTAGGGCTGGTCGGGTCAGGGATTTCAGAAATGTGCCCCGCGCGGGTTGGCCCGACCGAACCCGAGCTAAAACCCGACCCAAGTACGGAACTTGGGCCGAGTCAGGGCCGGGTTTTGGGCCAGGATTGACCCAACCCGATTTCAACTCTGTAGGGTTCGAAACCCTAGACAAATTTGATGACGAGGATTAAGAAGTCCCTCGACATCAGAACTTGGGCTGAGTCGGGACGGGTTTCGAGCCAGGATTGACCCGACCCGATATCGGGTCTTGGTCGGGGAATTCGGGCCGGGCCAACTCTGTAGGGTTCAAAACCCTACATAAATTTGATGTCGAGGATTGAACGGTCATCAGAACATGAGCACGCGCCACGCCCAGTAGCCAAACTTCAGCCACTAATGTTACCTAAGCTAAGTTAGTAGCTATTTTAAAGCCTACAGAACCATGTTTTCCGACATTTCTATTTACTATGAAGATGTTACTCTGCTATTAAAGGAGACCGCACTGGTGGGATAGTATACTCACGAGTTCACGTTTTACTAGTGCGATTTCACCTTCGAGGCTGCATGCGCCATGTCTTAAAACAACCACCGTTCATAAGTGGGCCCAGCACATAAACTAGTACCAATTCGTACTGATTGACGGGCGCCGCATGCACAGCACTTTTCACTACAGCTAATACACACCCGTACCCCGTAACAGGGCGGGTCAGCCTGGCCCGACCCGACCCGACCCGGGGTCGGGTCAGTTCTGACCCGAATTTCAAAACTCGGGTCGGGTCAGACCCTCCACAAGCTTGGCTCGAAGCTGGCCCGACCCGGGAACCCATCTGGCCCAGCCAAGTCGGGTCGGGTCGGGTCAGGCCGGGCCACATGGTCATGACTAGGTGGAAGGGGGCGTCGTAGACTATGAGAAAATTAGAGCTTGAAATAAAGCTACAACACTCTCTGGTTTCAAGGTTATATTCACACCCAAACTGGTCCGTACTAAACTTGTGGCTCAAGGACGATGGCTCAATTCAGAAAAAAACAAACCAAACTGCACAGAACCAAATCGTGTTGATCCGATCAAGCACTAGGATGAGAAGAAGGCTGATGATAGTCTCGCGGGATTTGGTGTATGTATGAAAGTAGGGGAGTAAGTAAAACCAGTGATATTGTGATGGGAAATAGAATGGGGCTACTACACCAGGAAGATTTTATCTGAGACTTTTCACCACACCCCATCCAGTCACAACTCTGATCATGGGATCTAAATGGGTGCTTCGCAAAAGACTTTAATGCATGCATGTACGCCCCTAATGTTGTTAGCTCACGCT